GAGGGTCACTTCATGAGCATTTGACCGTTTCATTTGAGTAAAACTATCCTCGTATCATATAAACACAGGAATGTAAAAGTATTCATGGCAACCCGTCAAAATAAAAGTTCGGTTTAACTTGACATTGCGGCAGAAATATATTACTATTGTTCAGTAGAATGTACGTAATAGGCTACTGCTACTACTAAAATTATTAAAACCTTATTTTTAAGTTATAATCATATAATATTTCTTCAATGTTTTAATTGTGATATTAAATCCCCTTTATTTTCCAAAAATAAAATGTTTAATTTTCATTAATTAAAAGATAAATTAAATAACTGTTTTATGCCTTAAATGTAAATGCACAACACAATTTCTGAGGGGGAAAAAAATCATTAGGCTATTGTAAGAATAAATGAAATATGTTTTTATGCTTTCAAATAATTAGACAGGTTAAAACACATAATTTAGTAACAAAACATAAGGTTGGAAAAAATAAAACATTTCATAGGGCCCTAAACATGTAATATTTGTTAAACTTTTAATAAATTGATGTTTTATGATTTGAATAATTAGACATGCTTTTTGATTAATAAAATTTAATTTAACCATTAAAAAGGTTAAAAAAAACGGACCCCCCCTCAAAGCCGCACACCTAGGAGAAACACTGAACACTGAACCCAAATTGCCGTTGTTTTGTGTTACAAATGTTACAACCATTCTTCAAAACGTCTTCCTTTGAGTTCAGCAGAAGAAAGAAATTCATACAGGTTTGGAACAATGATGAGGGGGTAAAGACGGGTCCTTACCTGGAGATATGTGAACTAGACCCCTTCTTTGATAGCAGATCTGAAGGATTACTTCATCAGGTGAAACGGAGACACCACAGGTAATTGATCATAAAGCATTTCTTGTTTGTTTTTTCCCCCACCGCAGTAATGGACAGCACAGGTGAAGCATGCAATGAAGTTTATAGGACATGTACATGGTGAACACTGACCCTGCTTTATCACAGGAGCTCATCTGAAGTCTATTTCACACCTGAAGACAGCTGGTGCACTGACTCCAGGATGGGATGGGACGGATTACATCAAAGAGCACGGGGCCCATGAGAACCATTCTACCAAATGGGTCCTTTTGTGTTTCTCATTAACATATGTGACCCTGGACCACAAAACCAGTCATAAGGGTCAATTTTTCGAAATTGAGATGTATAAATCATCTGAACGCTGAATAAATAAGCTTTCCATCGATGTACGGTTTGTTAGGATAGGACAATGTTTGGCTGAGATATAACTATTTAAAAATCTACAATCTGAGGGTGCAAAAAAAAAAAAAAAAAAAAAAAATCAACATTTTGAGAAAATGGCCTTTACAGCTGTCTAAATTAAGTCCTTAGCAATGCATATTACTAATCAAAAATTAAGTTTTGATATATTTACGGTAGGAAA